ATAAATATTGTAACAATAAATCCTTAAATGTATGCATGTATGATGTAAGTATTAGGCTGATCATTTTTTGAGCAAAGATTGGAATTTTTAAATATACTTGGCACGAGCCGGAGCCCGGCTGTATAATATTATAAATAATAAATAATACATATTAATAATAATATTAGATAATAACTTGTATTTCTATTTTAATAATTTACTAAGCTACTAGCCGTCCAACACTAACTTTTAATTTTCATTTTTTCCTTCCCATTTTCCATCTGCAGATTTGCTCTCTTTACCCTAAAAAATATGAAATTAGAAGATAAAACTAATATTTGCTCGATATTGTGCTTGGATACAAATATGTAGAGTACAAAATATTGTATTTTATATTATTTTAAAAAAAGCACAAATACATACAAAACAATACAAAATACAAGGTTTTGCACTTAACATATTTGCATTTACATCCCTTCCAAACTGAGCCTGCCATGATTAATTGCAAATAGTTCTAAAATTATTATCAATAAATTTAAATTTAGATGTAAATTTTTTAAAGCATGATAATTATGATTCACGTCTTTTTACATGCAACAATGAATTGATCTCAACCCTTGAATCTAGAAAATAGCTTAGGAACATTTGGCAAAAGGAAAGTAGAGAAGTTCAGGCCAATCCGAACCAAACGATTGGCCTGATTGGGGATTCAACAGCTCAGTTTGGTTTGAATTGACCTCAACCCGACTTAACCCGACCCAACTTGTAGCCATACTAATATTAAAAGTCTTGTAATCACAGACTGTGTCCATCGACATGTATGTTGAGTGTTTTTTTCCAATGTCAACTGAGTAGAAACATGAAGTGTTGTATCATTGCAGCTCAAGCGATCGACAGTTGGACACTAGAGCTGTGAGAAATACAAACACGACGAAGTTGTCTGTTTCATTGCTTGAACATTTGTTGTTGTCATCTTTCCACTCCGCTGGAGCTATAGCTGGCATTTCAATCCCCCTCTGTTGCTTTTGTGCTCATCTTTTCTGCAATGTTTTTAAATTGAAAATGGTTAATGGAGAGAGGACACAAAGCCCTCCTCCCATGTTCTCATGAACCCGGATCTCCACACAGTTATTGCAGAGCTGTTGGGTTTTGATTTGTTCACAACAATCAGTTTTCCATCAGACCCAAATTCCTCCACATCACCATCTAATGTGTGATATATGACCAATATCAATTGCCTGCATCCCCTTGATGAGGTTATTATCCAACTATAACAGTAATTTGACTGCTTTTAGTAAATTGCATTGCTCCTTGTATTGATAAGAGAGGTAAAATCCAAAAAGATGAGTGCCAATAATATTACCCTGATCTCAAACATTATTTAATTTTTTTTTAATACAAAAAACCCCCATTGTGTTATGTGGAAAGGTGACAATGCAGATCCACAAGGATTTTCTGTAATGTGGAGGGATGAACCAAGCATATCTAGATTAGGCTTTTTTGGGATCTGCAACCCACATATGGTGTCCTTGTTGACATCAAATCCATGTTCTTTAAATTACTTCATCCTTTCTTTCTTTTTCCCCTTTCAACCAGAAAACATTCCTTGCTTTTGATAGGAGTGATGATACAATGAATACTGATCAAGTTATGAGCACCCTATTGTGCTTATCAATTCATAGGGTTAATATTTTAAACAAGAAAACAACTGTGACTCTTCTTTTTTTTCTATTTTTGAGATGATGATCTATTATGAATATATTAGGGTTTGTCAAATTAAGTGAGAGTGCACTAATTCTGTGAAGTACTACTACTCTGTAAGCTCCCAAGAAAGAAATATCTAAGCTATCAGGGAATGCAAGTGGGCCCACCCAAATGGCCAAATGTAGGGTTTGTGGGAATGAGCTTGAATGCGTGGAACATATTCTCAGGAGCTCCAACCCTGCAAATCAAATGTGAATTCGTTAACCAAATTGTCAATGTCCTAACTCCTACGAATGATGGGACTTAAGGGGAAGCCAGCCAGCTTCTTGAGATGTGGAGGAGAAAAAAAGAGAGGGAATGATCTTGCCTTGACAAACTGTAGTGGAGTTCATTGAAGGCTACGACGACATTGATGTAAACCAGGAAAGATGAAACAACAAGAGCAAGGAAACAAAAGATGGTGAAGTGGACGACCACATGCCACCCACTGATGATCAACTCCGACTTCGATCCATGCAGATCGACGTCAATCCTACAAGAAGTAGATGATGCGTGGCTAGAGAGACTCAGAAGCAAGAATTCTAGCATGAGATATTGAGAGCACCACTATAGGCAATTCTGAAGCTAGTGCAGCTGCTAGAGAAGCAATTAATCATCATGGTTGGGTTCAGTAGCACAGACACAGGTGGAGAACATCTAGGAGCCAGCAAAATCACACCCCTTCTTCGGTGAAGGAAATCGAGCAACACAACACTCCTGTTTTCAAAGAAGAGTTACTCAACGAGCAAAGCTTACAGTCTGCGTTCACCATAACAATTCCCTGTGTTTTATAATAGAGCTCAAAATTAGCCAGCTGGCAAATTATAATAAGCAAAGGCTGAGTGGTCGACCACTTTTGCTTGCCACCTCAGCTGCCACATGTCAAAATACAACTTCCCGGCTTGCATCATCTGACATGCAAATCTTGCGAGTTGTGTGATGAAATGAAAACAATAAAAGATGAGCCATCGCATTCATTCCAACCAGCTCATGATGAAGGCGATGATGCATTCCTTTTAATGAAAAAGACGAGGATGAGATGGCGAGACCAATCGTTATTAATTAACCTAATCCATTGATTTGACAAGGAATTAATTAATTAATTAATGGAAAATAAATGTTTCATTGGAGAATGAAAATCTTCTGAGGTTCTGAGTTCTGGAGTTCTCACTTATGAGCCAAGCTAAACGTCAAGTTAACGAAACTTAGAAGTCAACACATGAAATTGACATGGGAATTAGGGCACCCCCGCAAATCCCATTACGTGCTTTAGAACTCTAGTCCATTTCCTTAATTGGTTAAAAATAGCAACCACGCCCAGACCCGATTAGATTTTTATACTTGCTTACGTACGTACATATATGCATCTTTCTCACGGTCTCACCGCAGAAGAATACCTGGCAAACCTAATTCTCAGTGTCTTAATGACGAGAATACCCTGCACCATCCAATGAGACAGTCTGACCCACCCACCCACCGCCAAACCCCATCCACTCCTTCTAGCAATCAACGCCGAATGATCGGGGCTGTTTTGGTCATTTTAGAACCGTGGGCCTTACACTTGTGACCGTACGTGCCCCCCGCCCCCCGCCCCCACCACCAACAGAGGCAAATATGCATATCGAGATTCAATCGTGTCAGAGACACGTGACTTGCAGCGGTGACGATGGCTGAGGTCACGTGACCTCGTCCTCCCGTCCGGTCGGGTGCACCGTGACGTCAACCTGACTCCCCCTCTGTCCTCTCCTCTCTATATTTTTGACAGTGGGAAAGCTATCCGTACAACACGCTCTCTTTCTCTCAGCTCCTCTGCAATCTCTCTCTCATATAGTGATATATATATACATACCATACCATACACGGTTACACACAAAACACGGAGACGTGATAGAGGGGTAAAATCGTAAAATGAAAAGATCTCGTGAGTGATTGTCGTCACGTACCGTAGGGTGTGGAGGCCTCGGGTGGCGAAAAGATCTTTTACTTGGGCTCCAGAGATCCCACGGCAAATCGGCATTTACTCCCTCCAGGCTCCAACCCGACTGAGAGAGAGAAGTAAATCTCAGTAACCCACCCTCCAGAGTCCAGCCCAGAGTCCAGAGAGTCCACAGACCCAGCCACCAGCAGAAGAAGAAGAAGAACAAAAGGACCCGATCACCCAGCACCAGCACCAGATGATAGATAGATAGATAGATAGATAGAATAGAGACGATCGAGACGACGTCCTATCCACCCATCCTATTTGTTTTTTTGTTTATGCTGCTCAACTCTATACTGCAACTGGGTGCGCAATGCACGCATTTGGGCACATTTATTTTGCTACGCGTGCGCTCTGCTTTGCATGATAAGGGGTGCTGTCCCATTTCTTGCCCGAGACTAGCTATTTTGGGTAATATCCCAAGAGTAACTCTGTAACTGTTTGTTATTAAGACCTAGCCCCTAATTGGGTTTCCATACAAACCATTCATACAGATAGAGTTACCCATCATTATATTACTTGAAATTAACCAAGCTTTTCGATAGATTTTCTCACCAAATTTCCCTCTAAACCACTCAAATCTAAAAATAACCCATTTTTGCTCAGTGAAGTTGCTTCAGATGATCAGTTCACCATCAATATATGTCCTTTGATATCGTGAGCTTACATATATATAAGCATGCCTTGAGAGAGAGAGACCGAGAAAGTGAAAGACCCAGTTCGGTATAATAGAGGAGTCGTACTCTCCCAAGTGTGGAAAAGGTTAGTTGGATACAATCCCTGTACTTTTAAGTTGCAGAGTTGGAGGCAACAAAATAACCCAGGGAATGAATATGAATAGTAATGGATGATATTTGGTTTCCAATGGGAGATTGTATGTGCCTGTGTATGTAACTATTGCTTTGTATAGACAATATGAAAGGTGAATAGCAGGAGATGTATTCTGTTGTGTGAGATAAGAGTAATACAGTACACATTAAGAGAGAGAGAAAGAGAGAGAGAGAGGGGGGAGAGAGAGAGTGTGTGTTGTTGGTGTCTATCGTATATACTATACGATCTGCTTCACCGTCTGTCTCCTATCATGGAACAGTTTACGTGTCATATGACCTGGCATCTTAGTCTCACCATCCGTCCATAATTTCAAGTGTGCAGCCTTCACCAGTCACTATAACGGTACCACCCGCCCAAACTCAAGAAGAATTTTTTTTCTTACACAAAAAATTGGTGAGAGAAAAAGAGAAATTAATTAATAAACAATTCTTTTGCTTATTTTATTTATTTGTTCTGATAATAAACACCGCAGGATTTACATATTTATACCATCTCTTTGCCCATGTCCACATCCCTCTCACTGAGTCTGAAGAGGAGCCTTGAGAAAGAGAACCGAATCGTTTTCTTAACCTTCACGCCTCACTCACCTTCCTTTCTCTCTCTCCCCTACTCATCAGTTCTGATGAACGCCCTCCCTCTCTATTTGCTGCTCTGAAATACGATAAAGTTTCGTTACTCCATTCATCTTTCGCTCCACGTCTCCTGACACCTTGTTTCATTCAAACACACTCTCCCCCTTTTAAATAATCCATAACTTCTCGCCTCCTTCGATACCCAATACAAAGTTGGTAACAAAGAACGCATTACCTGGAAACAGGGGAGAACAGAGGTTTCCTGAGTGAGCAAACAGGGGAGCTTTTGAATGGGTTCTTGCAAAGAAAACGAGCCACAGATGAAATGTGCTTGGGTTCTCGGACCCATCATCGTCGGTGCAGGCCCTTCGGGTCTAGCTGTCGCCGCTTGCTTATCCCAGCACGGTGTCCCTTCCGTTCTGCTAGAGAAGAGCGATTGCATAGCTTCTCTTTGGCAGTACAGGACTTACGATCGATTAATGCTTCACCTTCCCAAACACTTCTGTGAGCTCCCTTTATTGGGCTTCCCGGAGGACTTCCCAGAGTACCCGTCGAGGCAACAGTTCATCTCTTACATTGAGTCATACGCTGCCAGATTTTCTATCAAGCCCAGGTTCCGACAGTGGGTCAAAACGGCTGAGTTCGACTCGAGTTGTGGACTCTGGAGGGTTCGAACCCAGGACATCGAGTACTTCTCCCGGTGGCTCATCGTCGCTACCGGGGAGAACGCTGAGCCTGTAATTCCTGAAATTTCAGGGATTGACAAGTTCCGTGGCCCTGTTATGCATTCAAGTGACTATAAATCTGGTGCAGATTTTCAAAACCAAAAGGTTTTGGTTGTTGGGTGTGGCAATTCCGGCATGGAAGTCAGTTTAGATCTAGTCAGTCACCATGCAGTCCCTCATATGGTAGTTAGAAGCACTGTAAGTTTCCGAATCCTTTCCATCTCATATCTTCGGTGTTCCATGAAACTGGACTCTTCGAGTTCAATACTTCAACTGCTCATATGGGTTTATCTGATTTCAATTCGTCCTTTTTCAATGAAATTTGTCGGTTCAGGTGCATGTTCTACCGAGAGAGATGTTCGGATTATCAACCTTTGGAATAGCCATGGCTCTTCTGAAATGGCTTCCCTTAAGGCTGGTAGACAAGTTTCTCCTACTAGCATCAAACATCATCATAGGCAACACTGACCGATTAGGCCTCCGACGACCCAAAACCGGTCCAATTGAGCTCAAGAACGCGACGGGGAAGACTCCAGTACTGGACGTCGGAGCTCTATCAGAAATCAAAGCGGGAAAAATCAAGGTAAACCGAGATATTGCCTGGTTTTTCACGTCAAAGCTCGAGCTTCATATTGCGTGTCTTTAGCTAACCAGTTTGTTTTGGTGTTGCAGGTGATGGAGGGTGTGAGAGAGATAACGAGAACAGGAGCCAAGTTCGTCAATGGACAAGAGAAGGAGTTCGACTCCATAATCTTAGCGACAGGCTATAAGAGCAATGTCCCTTCTTGGCTCAAGGTTAGCAGCATATAGCATGGCTCCAACTTTTTCCTCATATTACATCTTCGTTTTCCCATCTTTTTATCGACTCTTCCATCGCTATCACGCTTACACACAAATAGCCTATCTATGCCAAAGCGTCTCTTTCCTATCTTCTAGAAAAAATCAAATGGGTTCTGTAGACTGTGTTGTGGGGTTGTGACGTTTGTCCTACAAACTGAAATTTTTTACGCAGTTCTGAATTCTGATGCTTTCATGAAAATATTGGGTTTTGTGGCAAAACTTTCCATGCTCAACTAATCTAAAGCATCATAATGTGTACATCTAAAACAATTTTGGGAAGGTTAGGAAACCTACTGGAAGCACAACCTACAAAGTGTCTCTTTTCTCTTTCGCAGAAAAAAGCCAAATCCACTTTGTACTAAGAAAACCAGTACTCCGTGGAGCTCCGCTGATGTGTTGCTTTATGGAATTTTTGTTCTGTGTGGAGAGAGAAAAGAGATTTATTTGAATATCAAAACCTGGGTTGTTGTAGTTTATGGCCCAGATGCTTCTCGCAAAGGATCTCCTTCTTATTCCTTCTAACTAAAGAAGAAATAATAAACAAATGGGATCACCCCCACCAGGAGAATATCAACCTGAACCTCTGTCTAATTTCTACTTTCTACTGCTGAGGGTTTCTTTAGAGATTTCGATTTGAGAAGTTGGTTTGCTTAGGCTTTAGATGAGGTTTACGTGAATATATTTGAAAGTTCGTTACTTGGTGTAACCTGAGTAAAAATCCTTCTTGCTGCTAATTTGACAGAGCAGCGATTTCTTTACGGAACAAGGGATGCCGAAAACGCCGTTTCCTAACGGCTGGAAAGGAGAGAACGGGTTGTATAGCGTGGGATTTACGAGGCGAGGCATCTTGGGAACATCATCAGACGCCGTTAAAATCGCTAAAGACATCGCTGCTCAGTGGAGGCCCATTAAGGACGTCAACAGTACCTGCAACACCCATATTATCCTACTTGGGAAGCCATAAGATTGAACTCTTCGGTTTGTCTCACTCACTCTATACACACACGGGATTGGATTGAGATCCGCTAATCTTCGGGTTGGGCGGTTCAAACGGATTCAGTCCTCGGATCTTAACCAATTTCCATCGGATCACATCCTTGTTTTTCCTCTTTTTTATTTTCCTTTTTTTTTGTAAATTATTACCCAATTTTGCTTGGGAGGAGATCTCTCCTGCTTTCCTCCTTGCGATGTTCATGATAAATTATGTATTTTTGTTGGCTTTAATCTCTGTAATATATTAATTTGCAAATAGAGAAAATTTTCTCTCTTCACTCTTCAGTCTTCAGTTGTTTTATTTTTGACGGCTACGATTGCCGGATGAAGTGAGCATGTCCCATCAAAGCAAAAAGGGTTGCCCGTTGATTGATGGGCCCAGTTGAATGGGCTGGGCCTGTGAGCAAGTTAAGAGAGAACAACACGTAACGTTTTCGGATTTCCAAAGTCCAAACCCGGGTGGGGGCAGGGGAGATGCGAAGTGACCAAGCTACCCATTGGTATATTGATGTGACATGGAATGTGGTTTTGGGTCAACGTTTGGGTCAAAGTTGGGATGTTTAGTTATTTACGCCTTTTGGCGATGGACGTACAGGGAGGGAGGAGGAATAAAAATAAAATCCTCGGTTTTGCTAAAACTGTGGAACGGGGGAGGGGATCAACTCATCAACGTGTTGGCACTCGGCGTTGGTTGTGTGAGTGTGAGTGTGACAAAGCCCTTTTCAACGGGCTAAAATTGGCAATCAATCCAGCAGGGCTAGATTCGTCTTTTGGAAAGCGGTTAAAACAGTTAGGGAGGGTTCCCAACTGTAACATGGGACATGGTGGCACCATCACTGGACGCGTGCGCATAAAAATCTATGTGAATCTGAACTCTGAAGTGTGCTGCAAATCTCATGATGAAGCCTACCTCACGCTCGCCTCTATATAGATTAGTTCTAACTCTATATATCTATAGCCCAACTTGAGCTATACCTCTCCTATATGGCCCAACTCAAACTTAACAGTCAACACCCACCCCACGGGCTCCGAATTTCTCGATATCTGCATATCAGACGTTTTTCAGATAAGGATCCGAGGGCTGACACTTGACAGCTGTGGCCCTAACCATGGCCACCAGTGGGGGACCTGCTTTGCTTATTTGTTGCTTGAGTCCTATTTGCCTGACTCGACAGTCGACCCCGTCCTGTTTTTGATAATGCCAATGGGGCGGGGCGGGGCCCCGTTTTGCCTGTCCCGTATCCGACCCCGAATTGAAATTTCCCGCCCCGAATTCCAGAGAGGGATTAAAAATCTTAAACCTATTTTCGTCTCCGTAGGGATTAGGGATCCTCGACTTTATTCCACCCGTTCTAATCATTCTTATTTTGTATTTTATAAATCGGGAAAATCAATGATATGGAAAAGATATGATATGAAAAGAGTTTTGATCAATCAAAATTCATTCATGAATTTTGATAAATAACATCTTATTCGCTATTATATTATACTATACTATAATATAATATACATTGTTATATATTAATAATTTTATATGTATACAAGGTCAGGGCTGGAATCAGGGCGGGATGGACAAATATCATTCCCAACCCCCAGAGCTTTGGATTTTCCCCGAACCTCGATTGGGGTGGGACATGGCAGGACCTCACGGGGATGGGTCAAATTGCCTTTTCTACCTGTTTCCAAGTGTATTTGGTTGAGTAGTTATGGACTTATCACTTATGGTGACAGTATCTAGACCACCCCAAATGTGAACCAAGTCAGGATAGTTGGTTCTAAGAAGTAAGAACCGGGTTAGCATTGTTTTCATGGTTTGAGAAATGGTTTTACATAATTATTAGGCCTTATTTATTAATTAGTATCTTGTAGGGGATAAATTAGTTAATTGGGTAATTGACCAATATCCCATGTTTGGGAGTTAAGGTAATGGATCCCATAGAAAACAATTTTTCTAGAGTCATAAACGATACTCATCTCAAGGGTGGATAAGCTACTTAACCAACCCAGGGAAGCCTTAGTAATGACTCTAAGTATTTGGTTTTACATTTTTTGATGATGCAATTCTAAATTTCTAGGTTCGAATGCAATTAATCGAGATAATAAATTTAAAATAATAATAATAATAGGTAGAATTTATTATTTGGAAAATATTAGTGAACAGATAAAAAAATGTTCAAATCAACTGGTGAAGAAAGTCGATAGCTTTCAGGGAGTTGATGGGTCAAAGACGACGTTGCCTAGCTAATGAGAGCTTGAAACGCAGAATTTAGACGCAGAAAGGGTTGCAAGTGGCGGGTTTATCGGCCAGAATGGGTCTTTAGCATAATGCCAGCAGTCATCATATGAGCTAGATGAATGATGGAATGACCTTCTTTCCACGTAAAGGACGAAATTAGGTTTTAGGGTTTTCACTGAACTTCAGCCTGCCTAGGAGAACCGTAGATGGGTTAGAGTCTTCTTGATAATAGAATTGGATGAGAATTCGCCAAATTGTTAAGTGGAACTTTAAGTGACAAAACCTGTGGTGCATTCACACCACTAGATCTATCTGCAGCAACGTAACAGACTTGATTGGTTGAATTGATGATAAATACAGCATGTTAAGCATGAATATATAATCCCTAAAATGTGAATTAGTAAAAATTAAGTAAAGCAGACTTAACGTAAAAGTCGTAGCAATTTTTTTTTTTTTGTGGATTTAGCAAGAAATCGTGATCAAAATATAGCTTTCTTAATCAGGTTGATGAGTGAAGCTCGCATGGTAGCTCTACTATACTTGTTTCTACAATGTGGAGGGATACAATATCTAATTTAGAACGTTCATGAAATTACGGAGTTATCCATTATATGCTTACTCCTACAATCCGCATCAGCTCCATAACTCATTTTTTATTGGAGTTTTATTTATTTATTTTTTTTTTCATGAGGTGCCCAAATCCGTACGAAAGAATCCCATATAGAAGGCCTATGTTGGGCATATGTCAAGGTTTTCAACCTTGTTTGCATCAAGAAGTAAAGGTTGGAACGTGTCGAAACAGAGGGTGGGGAGGGTTCTTTTAGCTTTAGGGTCCCAAACCATTAATCTAACAAGAAAACTAATCTCTATATACATACATACATACATACATACAGATAGACAGACAGACACACAAGAAAATGATACATATATAAAAATGTTCAAAGCATTGATACACTCTGAATCTCCTGAATGGGTGTATGAGTACTTTATACTCTCATGAAAGTCCTTATTTTTTTTATTTATAAAATAGGTGGGTGTAGGTCTTAGGCCTGCCAACCCCCAAATTAAAACTGGTCAAAACGCCAAAACAATCGCATCTAACTGATACGGGTCGATACGTGACGAAATTTTAAACCATTCATGTAGTATATATTACACTGAGTCTTCCCCATTTTGTGTGTTGTGGAAGGGACATGCATAAAACCTAATAAATTCTTTTGCATTGCAACCAAAAGTGCCTAATATCATCATCAATTGGCCGCTGCACCATAGGCACAAGATGATGTAGTAGTACTACAGCAAACAAAAACTAGTCTTTGGTTAGTGTCGTATTGAATTAGCTAGTTTCAAGAGATATTGTACTTGAGAAGCCTGAAAGCTTCCCGTGCGGTCAGTATCTCTTGAACTTGGCCAAGTTTCTTTCAACCTGTAGAAATGGCAATTCGAAGCTCTCATTTGCCCATATCTTTGCTTTTCATTGATCGATTGAGGAAAAATGTCATAGTCCCATCTCCTCTCTTAATTTTCTTGAAATGGGTGAGTTGATGACTTGTCTAATCTATCACTATGCCAAAAGCTAGGGATTGTGGGTCTGCTGTAGACACTTGAAACCACGTTTACACCGCATGTCTTTTGGACTCTTCCGTGACAATATTGTTTTGGAAACTTGCGTGACTCAGTCAGAGCTCTTGTTTGTGGCACATGTTAGCCTCATCGCATGAACACTGACTAACATGCAAACAACTACAAAATGGGCAATTCCTATTGGGGTAGTGCAGATTGCAGAATTCAGATTTCTCTCACAAATTCCTTTCACCACATTCACAAACATTGAATCTCTGTGTGCATTTAGGCTGATAGGCTTCCTCCTTATATATTCTATTGATGATTTGATCATTGGGATTCAAATCTAAACTTTACCATATTTTTAGGTCATAGCCTGTATATATATATATATATATATATATGACAGTCACTAATTGTTGTCTACTAGTTACTGTAGTTTCCCATTTGATAAATGCTTACAAAATGCATGCAACTATGTCTTCAACCATGCATGCACTTGCTATATATATGTGCATGTAGTAAGCATTTCTGCCATTGAAGGGCTTTTCCTACAACCTTCCTTGCCAAACATCCGCTTAGTTACAAAAGGAAATAATCCATTCCATTGTATTTGAATGATTCAAAGAATCTATGAAGTGAAAAGCTATTTTGGTCCAAATCACTTTTTAGCTTCTTGGCTATCCCTATACCATATAAGCAAATCTGCATGATAGCATGCATATACCCATTCACCCACACATTCATAGGCTTCTTGCAAGGGTATTAGGTTCACCCATGTGAATCGTACCTCAACTCTTCCTAATGGGTGATGTTGATGTGAGTGGTCAGTGGTGTAGTGCCACATATTGTCACCATTCCAAGCCTAAACGTTATCTTGCAATAAACCAAGCTAATCACTTATGCTAGAGAGTTCATTCATGGCTTCTCCCAAGTGAGAATTTAAAATTATTCTGAATTTTTCATCTAACCTATCATTTATGCAAGTGAATTATTGACTCATGTCTTCTCCAAATATAATTGTAATTGCCCGTGAAAATGGTGTATTTTCTTCTTTTCCCATGCCTCAAAATTATTCGAAAATAATTGGATATATTTTCCTGATTATGCAAACTAAAGCCTAATTATTCATAATTAATCCAATATCTCTACGTACAACATTAATCAAGTCACAAACAAATGATATGGAAAATCTATGGAAAGGCCCAAACAAATGCCATAGATCTATGAAAGAAAGCATGCATGCATGGTTTTCAAAACATCATTCACCTGCGTGGTTGAACCGCTTAATCCAAAAACTACTCAACTATCAAATTTCATTTATCCTATGCATGGCCCAGATTTTTCTTAAAATTCATTGACTTGATCAACAAATTTGTTGGAAAATAACAAATAAGGCAAATGAAACTTATCGGTAATCACTTTTCAAACCGAAAACATGCAGAGTGTGATGTTGTAGAACTGCGAAACTGAAAA